CCCCAAAACCCCAAAACCCCAAAACCCCAAAACCCCAATGACTGGCATTTAGAATAAATTATAAAGCAATTAATTAATATAAATGAATTCTTTAGCCGCTTAATATAATTTAAGACATCCTGATAATCCAGTAGTCTTCTTCGACGTCTCAATTGGTATTATAGCTACTTTTTAATCTAAAATAAATAGGTGGGTTTGCTGCAGGAAGAATAAAAATGGAGTTATTTACTGATGTTGTACCAAAGGTAATATTATTATTCATTAGCTTTCATCATTATATAGACTGCTGAAAATTTCAGGTAATTTTGCACAGGTGAATATAGAATCAATAATCAACCAAAAGGTTATAAAAACTCCATATTCCACAGAGTAATCAAAGAATTTATGATTTAAGGTGGAGATTTTCTGAATAAGGATGGTACAGGATCTATGTGCATTTATGATTCTGAATAATTTGCTGATGAAAATTTTGAGCTAAAGCATGATAGACCAGGTCTTCTTTCAATGGCTAATTCTGGACCAAATACTAATGGTTCATAATTCTTCATTACTTGTGGGCAATCTGAATGGCTAGATGGCAAGCACGTAGTATTTGGGAGAGTGGTTGATAGTGCAAGCATGCTAACAGTTAGAAAAATAGAGAATGTCTCAGTCGGTGCAAGTAATAAACCAAAGTATGATGTTATTGTGACTGAGTGTGGAGAATTATGAAATTAAGAATTAATTAAGAAAGATAAGTCAGATTTAATTCGGTTCTGCTCCAATCGTTATCGATTCTATCAATTACTTTCAACATGCTTACAAGGGTGAACATTTATTTCCTGTTATTTACATTTAATGCAATAATGATAAGTTTCTCTTAGATAAACTCTCATCTCTGAAAGCACCTCGAGAATATCATCAATCTTAATAATGTCCTCTTCGGAATCTTCTCTATCAATTTAACTTCTTTTACCTAGTTTAGTTTCTTTATTTGTTACTTTATCAGTACTTCAATTTGAAACATCTATCTTAATCATTAACGTTAATAGACTTATTCTTTCTGATTCAGTATTATTGTCTTCTATATTTTCTAGAAATTTCTTTACATCACCAAGCTTTCGTTTTAATTTCCTATTTTAAGTATGATAAAAGTTATATTACTTGACCAAAAAATTAAATCTCTTCAGATTGACAAAACTATTCGACATTTCCTCGCTGTATTTCTAAATCATTAGAATTTTTTCCTTTTTAGCTAAGTCAATGCCTATGCCTGTTTTATTGTCTTTGATTTAAAGTTATATCGGCTACTTCATTCCCTCCTCTTTCTTTCCAAGCCCTTTACCTTCCCTAATTTAATAGTTTAATTTGAAGTTAATTACTTGAAACCTAATTTTAATAGCATTTAATAGCCTTTGTTCTCAGAAGTAATTTTGGTTTCTAATCCCTCATGAACTTTAATCATCATCTAGTGTTTCATATTATGTCTTGTTATTTCAACATTTTCCTGACAAATATCTAATCTTTTATCATCTTTAAGCTTATCAGCATTTTTAATTTTAGTGTCAAACTTTTGTGCCTTGATCTTATCCTTTCGAATATTCTAGTCTAATTGTTAAGCTGTTACCAAGTATTTATCAGACATGAAGTCATCCTCATCTTCGTCAGATTCCTGACTTTCAAATTCTCTTTCAAAGTTAGATCTCTAAAAGAAATTTCTTTCCATTAAATTTAACAATATAAATTAACTTTATAATTAAAGATCTGATCAATAAATAATGCTATGGGGTTTTGGGGTTTTGGGG